GCCCTGTGGCTCAGCTCATGGCTGCCACCTGCTGGTCCCATCTTCCTGGGAACAGTGTGGCAGGCTGTCAGGCATCCTCTCTCCCCCTGCACCTCAGTCTTCCTCCTGAGCCTGCTCCACCATGGAGGGCCAGGCTGAGGCTGCGCTTTGGGAGGGAGTGGCCCCCTTACAGAGCCACTCTCAGGATGGGTGGCAACACGGGCACAAGTGTGCATCCCAAAGCTTCCTGGGCACTGCCACCTGCCACCATGCAGGGAGCCAGTGGGTTAACTTCCCTGCACGCTATGATGCAGAGGCCTGGTTCTCCTGTTTCCTCTCCAGAGCAACTTCTCTGCTTTCTTGTTCTGGATCTTTCTTCTTTCCTAGAGAAATAGCTCTTACTGTCTGTCTTACTAGCCTGCGAAGGAATCCCTCACTTCCCTTCTCTGGAGACCCTCGCACAGTGACCTGGTGTGCAGGGTGAGGTGCTCATCTGCCATGTTCCCTGCATAAAATCACGAGAGGGCGCAGCTGCTGGCTGAGGAGTCAGATGTGAAGAGTGTCTAGTGGAGCCAGCTGCGGCTCTATTCTCAGCAAGGGCAGCTGCCGTGCACAATTCCAGCCAACGCCACGTGCCCTGGCAGGGGCAGCAGGTTCCTGGCTCTGGACCCTTCTCCCACCCTGCACTCAGTATTGTCTCTTCCTTGCCCTCCTTCACTGCAGTGGTGCTGTGGGAGAGACCCCAGGGCCAGGGTGTAGCTGTCCTGCCAGGAGGGCCTCACACAGCCCCTGGGGCAGGTCCTAACACACAGTCTGCCCAGTGGCCCACGGGGTGTCTGCTCTACTCCACTCCTGCCACGAATCCACACTAGAGTCCCCACGAGGCCCAAGGAGGGCTGCACCTGTAACATTCTCAATTTGGTGCAAAACTGAGCAATAGATGTGACACAGGCCAAGCAACACCTCACTGCGGTTTCGAACAAAACAAAAGACATCTTCAAATACAGCTAGAAGAATCCCTGGCTTCAGGTGACAAACGCATGGCTCCTTCAGACCAAGGTCCCACAGTGAGGACCACACACTGTGGCAAATATGAAATGGTGAGATGGAAAGAAACACAGTGAGAGGCCTCGGTAGGCCCCAGAGAGCAGCACGGGTGGGAACTGAATGGGCAGAGGGCGCACAGGGACAGAAGCCTGCTTCCACTGAGGCACTGCAGGGGCCACACCAAGCCCCTACATCTCTCTCTGAGAGCCCAGCTGACCCCACCCCACCAGAGGCATGGAGATGGCAGGGTTTGGGGAGCGTGCCACCCCAGCAAGCAGGCCACTGAGAGGAGGCAGCACGAGGCTGGCCCCTGGGACTGCAAACACAGGACCCAGAACCTGGGGCTTCAAACAGCACCCCTATTCTCTGGGTATCCCGGAAGCTAGAATTACAACCCAGGGGGTCAGCTGGGGTCGCTCCTTATCCCACAAGGCTCTGGGGGGATCCTGCCTGCTGCTTTGAGCAGGTGGGGTCTGCCCAAGGCACTCCTTAGCTTGTACTGTACCCTTCCACCTCCTTGCCTGCTCTTGCCACCTTCCTCCAGCCCCATGTCTTTACGTGGCTTTCCCTTGGTGCCTCCCTGTCCCAGTGGCCAAATGTCCTTCTGTCAAGGACATTGGTCACACTGCATTAGGACCTGCCCTGCTCACCTCCTTCAATCTGACTACTCTGTACAGACCCCATCCCCAGGTAAGGCAACACCCAGAGGCTCTGGGGGTAGGACTACAACATCCTCATGGAGCAAGCTGAGCTTTGCCTGCTCAGCTGGAGCCTGACCTTCATCCTGAGGCCAAGGCAGGCACAGAAGGAGGTGTGGCACAGCCACATTTGTGCTCTTTTAAGTATCCGTTCCCCAAATGGGTGGACAACGATCCTGGGGAGTCGGCACTAACCCAGTGAGTCCTCTTTGAGGCCACTGTGCAGAGGGTAGGGCAGGTGTCGGGGTGCAGATGGTCAGGGACACAACCCATGTGAGAGGCAGCAGATGGAGGTGTCCACCAGGGGGCGTGCAGAGCGCAGGGCCACAGAG